AAAAAAAAAAAAACAAAACAAGGAAGAAGGGGAGAAACAAATGTGTTTGTAGTAAGAATGACTTGGAGCAGAAGCAACTGGAAGAAACTATTTATAATGGTATTGAAATAGTTAAGATAGAAATAAAAGACTGAATTTTAGGAGACTTTTAAATATGAGTTGGCCAAATAGGTAATTGGCAAAGGCCAAGGTGTTTCTAATGTCTACTCATCTCAACTATAATCTAAAGAAAAACAATGCCTCAAAAGGCAAACTAATTCATTTAAGAAATCGTTAGTTATGCTTGAAAACCACTTAAGAAAGGTCATTTTTTTCCTCAGATTACATAGCTGAAATGCTAGAAGTGTGACATAGGGGTGAAGATTTCTTCTGCCTTATAAAGCAGCAGTGCATGGTCTGTATTATGTCTGCTTTATATTTAAGCTAAATATCAGGAAAGTCGAGTAGGATAGAGCTTTCTAATGCAGTGCAGTGTTGAATCAGGTAAACTGGAGCAGCAGCAGAACTGAACATGTTTTTATAAAATGTAGCCTGTCTTATATTCATGATTTCATATATCTGCTGAGGATTCTGCACCAGCACTTTAAAGTATGCCTAGTGGTGAAGGCATAATTTTAGCCTGGCCACGCGTGTACATGGTTGTCCATTTGCAGGAACAATGAAACACTAGAGACCAGAAATTTTGCAGAGTACACAAAGGTACATTATGAGTTAATAGGTTCATAAAACTCTAAAACTGAAATTGTGGAACACTGCACAATAGTTATGTCTAGATATAGTGTATATTTTCCTTGAAATTTAAGATGTTCTTCTTCCATAAAAAAGAAATAAGAGAATATCAACAAAATATTTTAGCTAATTTCTCCCTTCACTTCCCATCATTTCTTGAAAGTCATTTAAGCAAGGTGCAGTGTTTAGGGTGCTGAGTAAAAAAGATGTCCTTTTATTTTTGCCACTATATTTGGTGAAGTCTGAATGCTGTATCTAATGAATTATGCCGGTGGCTGTTATTTTTCACATTTAAACTCCATTTTTTCCGTCATATTGTTGACTCTCCTTTAGTACTTGACCTTTTGAAAGATTTTCATATTCTGACCTTTAATTCCATAATTTTACACCATTTCCTCTTATGATTACTTATCTTATATTTATCACCTCCCCTTGATCTTTTCCTCCAATATGCTGGTAATTTCCAAAGGTGTGTTCTCCCCTTCATGTATTCATTTTAATGTTTGGTTTTCTTCCAGGTCTATTACTGTGTCCTCTGGCTCAATGTTCTCCAGGAGGTGGGGTTGGGCTCTTATCTTCTTCCTCCTTCTATGCACATGTTATTGTCTCCCCTCCTCCAAAAGATATCATCACTTTTTTTCCTATACTTTGCACTTATTTTTCAGATTTTTAAATCCTTGAGTCAACTCTCATTGTGAAGGAGAGTGACTTTTCCATGTATATGAGGACCCGTGAGGTGGACTCATGATGTGGCATTCATCATTGTACTTCATCGGGGTTCTGAGTATGATCTCTAGGTCAGTACTCTCGAAATTCTTGGAAAAGCTCATTCCCAAGCCCTATCTCAGATCAACTGGATTATACACGCCAAGGGCATGGCTCAGGAATCTGTCTTAACAGGGTCTCCAGGTGATCCTAATGAAGGCTAGTCAGCATCACTGATAGACTACAATTTCCTACATTGCTCTGATTTCCATACTAGATTACAGTTTTAGGACAGAAATTAGGATGACATTTAGGATTACTACACAGCAATTGGACCTCACAGGCTTCAAGATCCGAACACAGGAATTGCAAATGTATAAAACCTTTTTTATTTTTTAAAAAAATGCACATTTCTGATTTCACACTTTGTATTTTGTATGGTTTGGGGGTTGTGGGATGTTAGGGGTATTGTCGCGGGTGAGGTTCCCAAGAAAAAGCAGGCAGATCCAATATCAACAATAGCAACAAGACGAAAACTCTTTATTCTTCAGCCCTTACATAGGCTGCTACATAGACCTACATCACTGTGCCCTTGCAACCTTGTAACCCAGGGGTGGTAGTCTATGATGAGTCATAATTACATAAGAGTGTCGCATTTTGCGCATTTGCCAGGTGGGTTCATGTCCTTATGGGTCCTCAGGCATCTTCGCCTTTCAAGCAGCAAGTGGTTCCCTACATATGGAAAGCAAAGAATTACTTTCAGGCCAGCCTTTGTAATGGATAGTTCACACCTAACACCTCTCATTACCTGTGTCCTCCAAAACAGTTTCACATGTTGGCTTCTACAACCTTGACTCTTAACTTGCTGATTTGACCTTTTTAAATTATACTAGAATTATTTTATCCTTTACTTTTTGAAAAGAAATTAATCATCTTTCTTTGAAGAGTATCTTTATTGTTTCTGAGTTTACAAAAAAAAAATATTAGGAAGTCTGACATTCCTAAAGAGAAAAGAAAAACCATTTGAAAGTCCACCACCCAGAGAGAACGTTTAATCATTATTTATAGCATACTTGCATGTAGTTTATATGTAGAAGTAGCATCTTATGAAGCATGATATCTTGTAATCTACTATTCATTTTTTTTTTTTGTACCAGGAATTGAACTCAGGTCCTTGCTCTTGTGTGGCAGGTGGCAACACCACTGAGCTAAATCCCCAGCCCCTCATTTTTATTTTCTTGTCTTTTAAGTATTGTTTGCTATAGATTTGTTGATGGCTGCTTGGTATTCCTGACAATAATCTTAAACCTAGTTATATCCTCCTTTAATTCATTGAAAAGCCCTTTTTATTACCTCCACCATTGTAGTGCAGACTTTCTGACTCCTACAACCTTTTGCAATAGATTCCTATGTTTGCTGAAAATTAGTAGTTCTGAGAAATTGTTCTAAAGTCAACATGACTCTCCAGTGCCTTCCAAATAAGGCCACAGTCCTGAGCAGGTCAGTCAGGGGCTCCTGCTGCTCCCTTATGTATACCAAGGTTCTACATGAGACTGCTTATCATTCTCACAGAAGTTCCTATTTTTGTACCTTCTTGAATCTTTCAATTGCTCTTCCCAAAAATTCTTTCCCACTAATGATTTTATTCAAACATATGCCTAAGTAAAAGACCTTCCTAAAATTGTAAATCTCCTACCCTTTCCACCATTTAATTTTAATCCTTCTTTTCTACCCAATATTTCATTCTTAGTTTCTCACAACCATCTTACAGACTATATATTTCCCTTACTAGTCTTGATAATCACCTATCTCCCTGACTGGAATATTAACTCCAGGAAGGTGATGATTTTTATTCCTGTCTTCTTTATTGCCATATTCCTAAAACTAGGAAGAATGTTTGATACATAAAAGATACTTGTTACATATTTGAAATATGGAATGAATAAATTAATGAATATATGAAAGATTATCTACTAGTGAAATATCTCCAAGCCCTCAAATAAGTCAAAGCTCTTATTTTAGTGATTTGCATATTGAGTGCATTCACTACATACCTAATTGTCCAGTGTGAATCTGGATGCCCAGTTCAAATGTTACTCTTCCCTAAATTTTTTCCTTTGCACCTCTATTGAAGGTGATCTCTCTGCTCATTACACTTGATCTTAGCCAAAAGGCCGAGAAGCGATCTGCTCATTAATGTCTATTGATTATTATCTGTTCCTATAGAATTTATAATATATGGAATGAAGTTATATGTTTCACTTCCTCATTGAGTAATATTCAAGCTCCTTAAAGGAAAACACCAGTTATCTTTGTATCTACTGCAATCCTTTGGTAATAACATTTCATAAATAGTTTTTAAATTAAATTACTGCTGAAAATAAAATATTACAAAAAGCAAAGAGAAAAGGTGTGTTTTACCATTTACCCTGTTGATAAATTTGGATGTATCTTACATTTTGAAGAAAGAATACTTAGCATTTACACATTGATAATTATTTATGAAGAAATCACTGTGTAAATATTCTATATCATTACAGATTATTAATGCTGCACTTGCTTTGGCTGCAAGACCCAAAAGTCAAGTGGTGAAAAATACCATGGAAATGTACAAGCGCACGTGGGGAAATTACATACATGTTCTTACAGAAGCTGTGGATGACATTACAAGCATTGATGATTTCCTTGCTGTATCTGGTATGCTTTTGATCTTTTAATTTATATGTTTATGCTAGCAAGTTTGGGAAACAGAATCATAGTGAACATGACTCATTTTATATGAAAAGCCTTTTATTAATGAGCTTTTTAGGAGTGAAGTGTGGCTATGTAGTAAAGCCACTGTGACATCAGTGGTCTCTTCTGGGATTATGAACCTCTTATTTTCTAACCTTTGCACTTAAACAATTTACACTTCCTCTTTCAAAGAAACTCCTACTGATGGGAAAAGCGTAAGACAAAATAGAACCCGTCTTCCCTGGATTTAAGAAATCAGCATTTTCTCCATTGTTTTTCTTTTCCAGGAAACTTATCTCCCATTCAGGAGAGCTATGTATCAATGGGAAAAGTTCTCATTGATTTGAGATATAGCATAGTGATTCAACTGCAAGTATAGGAATTTGATGCACTAATCTCAAGAATCAAGGAAACAAGTGCAAACATCTAAATACATTGGCAACATTTGGGCTTGAAGCACAGATGATTAACTCATGCTACATGAGTTAGGAATTTCCCAGGATTGTAAACGTATTCTTATAAGATCATAACTTCAGAAGTATAACTCAGAGTTTGATTATAGTACTGTAACAGTGATGAAGTACTTTTTTATTCTCTTAACATGTACACTTGACCATAAGATAAAATACATGTTTAATTTTAGTATTGTTTCATTTTATGAGAAATAGATTTTCCTACACTACAATATTATTTTAAATAAAATATCAATTTCTCATACATATTCAACATAATTTTTATAAGTTTTCTGATTTACTTCAATCTGTTAAATTGATGACTTTCACATAGTCATGCTATTTCATCCTGAACAATAGATATTCCAGAAACCTAGTATTTTTTCATGATTCATTAATGAAAAGGAAATATATGTTAATTAGTCATTTTAAAAGTATTTCATTTGTACTGGTATAAATTAAAAAAACAAAAATGTATGAACGAAAATATTAATAGCCTTTAATATCGTTACTGACTAATTCAACTTTAATGACATCACTCACTGTACAAACAAAATCAGAGTTTTATTAGTGTAAAAAGAAGAGAATATGGCTGTTGAACAGACAACTAAACACGTTTGCCCCAGAACCAGAGAAGCTTCTGTACTTGTCTTTTCTACCCTTGTATAAATTTGTATTTTCTTACTTAGAGCATGACAGCTTTTCAACGTCTGTTCCCACACATGATGACATATTCTTTCAAAATATTCTCAGAATAAATGGGAAAAAATCTAGCTGGCTCTATACATCTTTTTAATATTAAGCTAAAAGTCCTATGTTTAAAGATCACTAACCAAGCAGTAGATGGGTTAATGTTTTTCAGGTGATTAATCATGGCTCACATATCTATGATGAGGGCTTACCACTATCTGGACGCTTGTGTGTGGGACAGATTTTTCTTAAAAAAAAAGTTGCAAGTGTATCTAACAGCAAATGACTTCTCTGGTACTCTCTTCTGATGGTGTTTTAGAATGAAATGGTGGTTTTAGTCAGACTTCTGATACATCAACTGGAAAGATGCTGTACCCGATGTGAGGTACATCAAATGAAAAGCTAGTTCACGGAGGATTTGAATTGTGAATTACCTAGAGGATATCATGCTTACAGAGGTTTTGTAAACATTTCAACTTTTTCTTGGACTTTGTAGAATTCAATATTCATTTTTAAAGATATTTGTTTTGATAAGAATAAGGAAATGGAATCCTGGAAATATCCCTATTGTCTTTGTAAATAGTTGTGAAAAGTGTGGGATTCTTACAGTATCTTCACATTGAAATACAGATTAAAATTAATAAAAAATCAGTAAGAAATGATTTTATTCTTGGACTTAAACCTGTTATTTTATCATTAAAACAAAGAAATCACATGTAAGATGTTTACTTATAATCATGTTTCAGAAGTATTAGATTGTTCAACATTCAGTGTAGGCTTTTGAAATGAATATCTCTATACCAAATGTCATGCTTTTGAAATGAATATCTCTATACCAAATGTCATTTATAAAGCTACCAAATTCTAAATATAAATCTATCATTGGTGCTTTACTGTTGTATGTTAATATCATCACCAAATTTCTCATGAAACGAAAGTAAAAAATATGCCTTTTCATCAGACATATTTGTGTTATTTTGTTATTTTGCTATTTAGGCAGAACTCCAAACATAAGCATAATCAGGTCTTCCTTAAAAATCATAGGAATATATCCACCTCATTTATTTATCATATATTATAAATTTTATGTGTAAAAATATTATTCAGCTATGAACCAAAGTTAATTTTCAGGAGCAAAATGTGTTTGGCAAGGTAAGTTCAGTGTAGTTCCTTTGTCTGAAATGAATTCTTTGTGGTTTAATGTTATTGATGAAAGAGTGTTATTTATAATGTTATTTATGAAATTAATGGTTTTTGATACTAGTTAGAAAAATGCATTTGTTTCCAAACTTTTTGTCCCATTGAATACAAAACTTATTCCTCATACTGTTCTTTATCCCTTGTATCATTCTCTGATACTGTGTATGACAAAATAACCATTAGAGAGTGACTTTTATGAAAATTCTTTGACCATGTCAGTCTGTTCTCTTTATAGACACAGGAAATGAGATGACATTTGAGAAACTGTTTCTTATTAGTCTTCCATAGTGCTTGAAATCCCCAACATTAGTTGTTGTCTTTGTTACTTTTCTTTCCTTGCTGTGACAAAATACCTCACATCCAAATTAAAGGGGGAAGGGTTTATTTAGCTCACGGTTTGTAGAAGTTTCTGTCCATAAATGGCTGGCCCTAAGGCAGAGTAACACATGGCAGAGGGGCATTGCAAATGAGAAACAGTTCATGCTGCCAACATGGTAGCAAAAGCAAGAAAGCAAGGGACCTTAACAACGTCTTTTTGTCCCTCCTGTCTTATCCACACTTACCAGGATTAGGGTAGTGCCAAACCAATCACTGGGCTGATTTTGTAATTATAAACCCTTAATCCCTTCACCACACAGTCTAGATTCAGTCACCTCTGAAAAAGCTCTATGGCTGCAAGGGGCTCTTGAGGGAACATCCAGATATAAACGATAGCAGTTACTCAAGTAGAAACTCTGAAAATTTAGAAGAGGAAATAATTTATGTACCACTTTTTGAGCTATTGCATGAAATGATTCATAGTGAACTGTAAACATGGATAAGAGGGAATGAAATTGACCATAAGAACAATAATTACTAAGATGTGATTAATACATGAGTTTCTGATGATGCCACTTTTCTTTTACTATTTTTGTCGCTGATTAAATTGTTTTTGAATAATTTTAAGTGATAAGTACTTTTAAAGATAGTTTAAGTTGAACAAAGTGTGAAAGCAGAAGAGATAACTGGCAAATGAGCTGTGAAAATGGAGCTTGTTGGACAAAATAGTTTTTATTTATTTCATGTAACTAGATGTTTAATATGGTTGGTTTTGGGCTTACAAAACCCCAAATCAGTAATGAATCATACTTGAAATTTTTCTTTACTCCATTTCTTACATTTCTCTTAAATATGTCCAATTTTACCCATATCCCCTGCTACCACTCCAGTCCACACCATTATCTTTTAACTGAGAATCTTTCTAATTGATTTGTCTGCTTTTAGAGTTTTCTAAAGACTCTTAACAGGTATTTGCGAGATATTACTATTTATCCTCCCTTTAAATTCTGCATCCAAATTAATTTTCCACGTTTACGTCTTACAGTTGGTGTCTTGTTTTGTTTTGCTTTTGTACCAGGGATCAAACTCAGGAGACCTTGCACTTGCGAGGCAGGCAGTAGAACCACTGAGCTAAATCCCCAGCCCATTTACAGTTTTATTAAGCATTTCAGCCTTGGAATTAATATTTTGAATTATGTGAAATAACTTTCAGCATTATTCATTACCATATTCTATGACCTTGACATAGTAACACATAGATAACTCTGATGTTATATCAAAAACACACTACCAAAGACCTCTTTGTGACATCATAGTGAAGTGACTTCTAGTCTCTATAGAACTGTAATCTAAATCACTGAACAAAGAAAAATTAAATAGTTTTGCAATATTTTTTCATAAGTTTATGCCAAATAAACATCTCATAATGTTATCAAAAGCAAAATATTAAATTAATTGCATACAAAGTACTATTCAAGATTAGTGTGTTTGTTGGAATAGGGATCAGGATAAAAAGAATTAATATAGTATATATTTATGCAAAGATGAATTATATAATTAAAGTCCAATATCTATTACTTATACATATACTTTATTTTTCAACTTACATCTAAGTGAAATTATTCTTCACTAAAGGCATTAAGGCATAATATACTTCCATGTTGATAAATAATATTAAATATGAGATTTTTAGTCATATCCCGTAAAAACTCATTTTGATAAAAATGCATTGAGTGTTTACTATGTGAGAATTAGTATTATAGGGAATAGAAAAGGAAGGAAATGATGACATTTTCTTTCAGAAGTCTAATGAATTATTTTACAAAATAAATTGTGATAGTCATAAAGACGAAATCCTATGCAATTATGCAGTTAATGCTGCTGCAGTGTCCAGATATTGAGGGAAGCTTTTTTTTTTTTTGAAGGAAGCATTTTTAAAGAGAAAACTGTTTAACTGATTTGTTGAATTTTCAATAAAAGAAATTGGAAAAGCATCCCACAATGAGAGAAAAACATGTGAAAGTGCCTGGTATGTTTGAGGAAGAGAAACATGGCCAGTAAAAGGAGCACAAGGTGCACGAGGATGTTTGTAGTCTTTAACTTTTGTAGGAAATATGAGTCATCTGAACATGAAGGTAGTAGCAATATAGACTATCAGATTTTAGAACACTACCTCTGGATGCTAAAAAAAAAATTGTAATAAAACTAATTGCTAAATTTTATTCTTAGAAGTGAAAATAAGATAATATAAAATAGATGTTTCCTTGATTTCTCCACTACACCTCCAAAATAAATAAATAATAA